AATTATTTTTAATTATTAAAATATAAATTTAATATATTTATATTTTTTATTATTTATTTTTATATAATATCATATCTTAAATATATTTTTAATTTTATATATTTTATTTTTATTTATTATTATAATCTTATATATTTTATTTTAATTTATTTTACTTATATTATATAAATTTAAATTTTTATATTTTATTTTATTTTATTTTTGGATTCTTATATTATATATTTTATTTTAATTATAATATTATAAAATATTTTTAACAAAATAATAAAATTGAAAGGTAAAAATATCTTTAAGAATATTGCAGAATACAATGTAATGTGATTGTATTGGTTTTGGACTGTAATCATATTACATCCCTTGGCTGTAATGTGATTGCATTACAATATAACATTGTAGTAGTTTGTTACAAAACAAATACTGTAATATAATTTAATTGGACACATTGTAAGAAATGTGCTCTCACTTCTTTCATACCAAACACTACCTCAGGTTAAAGACGAAGCACAGTAGTAGTAAAATTTTTCAGAATGTAACATGCATCTTACATTAATGTCATTATGAACAAAAACTTAATCAATCGCTTAAAGAGAGGATGATGTCTTTCTCTAGGATCTGTTTATAATAAGAGGAACTGATTTGATATAAAATTGGACTGGCCTTAATCATAGAGTTAAACAACATCGACCTAGCAAGAAACTATTGCTTCAATGGATCTATGCCATGCATAATTGCACATGCCATGTTTTCTCCTCCCCCTTTAAATAGGGTACCTCAAAGGACAACGTTCGAATATCTGAAAACGGGAGTTCCTAAGGTGCCTACGAAACATTAATGAAACAATGATGAAAATGTTACAATGCATGTGCTGCAGTGGCCCATGAACAGCATGTACAAGACTTAGAATAAACCCCATAGGTTGGAACATTCAAATTCATTCAGATTGACCATTTGGCCTAGCCAACAGTAGCATTTCATTCCATGTAATCTTAAAGGAAATAATAAAGAACGTCTTGACTCTTGATCTCAAACATCTATTTCTATCCCAGTTAAAAAAACAAAACAAATCATTGCTGTTCTAAGGCATTTGTCAACCTTCCCAGCCTCAACAAAAGGTAAGAAAATTCAATTTCCTATATGCACTAGTTGAGTGGTTTATATACCTTATTGGAGATCAAACTTGATTTATAATCTACCCAAATTAATACAAGGTCTTCTATTAGAAGGTATACCCTTTTCAATGGAGGATCGAGTTCCCTTTCGATTGGAAGAAAAAGTAATAGTTTATTTTGTATGAAAGAAAGTATTATGACTCGAGCTTAAACTCAAGCGGTGTAATAGAAAAATAATAATAATACAAAAATATATTATTTCAATTTTTGGGTCTAAGCATGGATGGGTTTAATTTTAAAACCCAGCCCATATATTGGTCCTGTTGTCACAGTTGGGCCCAAAATATATTTTTGGGCTGAACTGACTGCCCAAACCTCCAAAAGGGTATCCTAGCAGGCATGCTGTACAAGTGCCACGTAAAACAATTTTTAACCTTTCCCTTGGCTCAGAAACCGCCTCTATCAGGCAAACTGTTGACTTTGCGCGCACTGAATAATTAAAGAGAAGTTTAAATTAGGGATTTTGAAAAATAATAAGATTTGGGAATGGCGATGGAGATGGAGGAGGAGGAGGAGAGAGGGAAGGTCAGGGCTTTGATAGAAAAAGCCACGAACTCAACGGCCGCCGAGGTTGATCGACGCCTTCTCAGAGCAATCAAATCGGTTGTCCGGTTCTCCGATTCGGAGCTCCGAGTCGCGACCCATACCCTCATGGACCTCATGAAACGCGATCACTCTCAGGTCCTCCATCTAAGCTTCTTTTTCATTTTTTAGTTAATAAATATATTTTAATGTCAGTAACATTTCCCAATTTTTCTCGGTTTGATTCTATGTTGTTTTCCTTAGATAATTTATGTTCTGCAATTTAATTTAAAAGTTTCCAGCCTTTATTTAAACGAAATTTATGGTCTTTTTTAATGGTAATTCTTTTCTTTTTAATGTTAAAAAAGAGAAAAATCCTAAGAGATTGGTGTTCTAGATATTGGAGTTTCTGAAACTTCTTGTTATATGCAGGTTCGTTATCTTACACTTCTTATAATTGATGAACTTTTCATGCGGTCAAAGCTTTTTAGAACACTTATAGTCGAGAACTTAGACCAGTTGTTGACCTTAAGCGTCGGGTTCAGAAGAAATATGCCACTTCCAGCTCCTCCTGCTGTCGCATCCACCTTGCGTTCCAAGGCAATTGAATTCTTGGAGAAGTGGAATGTGTCCTTCGGGGTTCATTACAGACAGCTTAGGTTAGGTTTTGATTATCTTAAGAATAGTCTGAGGTTCCAGTTTCCTAACCTTCAGGAAAATGCAGCTAGAATAGAACGAGAGAGAACGGAAAGAGAGAGAAGAACACAGGAGATTTTACGAAACAAGTTTGAAACACTGAAGACAAATTTTGGTTCTATAAAGGAAGAGATACAGTCGATGGTCAATGAGATTGGGGAATGCTTAGGTATTGCTCGTACTAAAGAGGAAAGTGTGCCACTAGGCATGTTGGATGATGAAGATTTTGAAGAGTTCCGCTCTTCAGAATTGAGGCAGATCCGACTTGATTCATTAAAGGAAGGAGAAAAGGTTCATGAGAACAGTGATAATAAAGTGGTTTTTGATGCATTGAGGGAGCTGTATAAGCTTTTAAGAACAAAGCATTTGGTTTCTGTACAAGAATGGATTTCTCTTCTTATAAGGGTTGAAGTGGCTGACAACAGGTTACGAGATTCCTTGTTGAAGGAGTTGATTGATATCCGAAGTCGACTCCTGTCTGTGAAGAAGGATTGTGACGAATCAGGTTGTGCCCTACTTAAAACTGTGAAAAATAACCAAGAAGAGGAGGAAGACTTCTGGGAAGAAGGTAATATTGGATCAACTGAGAATGGAAGTTCTACTGAACCAGAGAAGCGAAAGGAGGCACAAAGTTCCAACAAGGAAGAGAAAATTAAATCTATTGAGGATAGGAATTCTTGGAAATCCAATAAACAAAACGAAAATCTTGCTAGACTGTCATCTTCTAGCAAGGTGAAAGACAAAGCTAAAGAATGCAGTTCTAAGGGCAAAGAGTCTCTGGGTAGTGAAACCTCTGTTAGGAGTAAGCTTTTGGCTGAAGCTCCAGTCATCAGGTGGGGTTCTTTCTTGGATAATTGGGGATCGGTTTCTAATAAGGATATGTTGGCTAATCAGAGAGGCTTGGAGCTTGAAAGTCACTGGGGACGAGTAGACTATGATGCAGTAATTCCAGCAGAGAAAATTGCAGAATTGAATCTTCAGGCGATTGTTTACCAAGAAAATCTAGGAGAAATCCAACCATGTCATGCCCCTTTGAGCAAAGGTGGACTTTGTCAGAGAAAAGATTTGAGGGTTTGCCCCTTTCATGGGCCCCTTATACCTCGAGATGATGAAGGAAACCCTATCAATCAGAATTCTTCTATAGATGATACAAATCCTGATCTAGCGTCTGATATTGTAGAGCAATTAGCCAAAAAAGCTGTGAAGAATGTCAGGGCGAGAGATAAGGAGGAAGCAAGGAAGAGAAAACTTGATAAACAGTCATTATGGCGGGCAAAGCTTGCTAAAGTTCGGGAACACAATGCGGCGGTTCTTCGTGATGCTGCAATGGCATCAACATCAAGATCTGCAGTTGTTGGAGAAGATATGGAGGAAACTATTCGGGAGAAATCAGTGGGAAGAAACAAACAAACTCTGGCATCCATGCAGCGGAAGAAAGTAACAACTAAAGGCAGGTTAGCTCATAAACTTCTGACTACGCGGGTTACAGATGCAGCAATAAGACAGATTACCCAGAGGGAGGATGCAACTTATAGAGAAGCCTTCCCCAATCAGTGGTAGATAATTCCCTGTGAAGCTTTTAGACATTTATTGGAGGGTAAATGCCCTTGGTTGCATAGGTTACTACTGGGCAAAACAATTTCATTGGTGACCCTGTACATATACAAGCATAAACTGATCAAATGTTCATTGCATTCCTCAGGATACTTCATTGTAATGTCTCTATGAGCCTGGGGAAGCTAGTTGTGCCATTCGGAAATCATGGATGGTTAATCATATCAGCAGAGCTGTTATATGGTTAACTTTGTAATATACATGTTTTTTTCTTTTTATAAGATTTTGTTGCAGATTCTTGGAGATAAATAAAGAGCTAGAATGTTGGATTGGTTTCTTATACAATAAATGAAGTTTTCTCTCGTTGCAAATTTTATTCCTTATACTGACCCTAGTTTCGTCCATGCTTATTTCATGTCTTCTAAAGATTGCTACATGAAACTGAACCAAGAATGCTTGACAATAACTCCAATGACGCAACTAGATTATCTGTTTTCTTGTTATACCAGCTATAAAACTTCATTTAGGTTACTTAAATAATTTACTGCATTGTACGGTTGAGGTTAAGAAAATGAAATTGCCAAGTAATTTTCTAACTATGTCACAGAGAAAATTAAGAAGGTTATGCAGGTATATGTCCATGATCTATCTGGCCTGAGCAGAAAGCTGGAGTCCTGGAACAGAACTGTTTCCATCATTGGGATAAAGTACAAGTTCTTCCAAGAGACACTTGCTGTTATGTTCCGAACAACAGACAAAGCCAGGAGGAACCAAAATGTATGTTTCGCCTCCCATCTTTCCAGCAAAGCATCTGGGACTTCGGTTGTAGACAGAAGTTTCTAACCTCTTTCATGGCACAGAGTGGATGGGCATCAAAGTTCTTAGGGTGACATTCCTTCTTAAACAAATAAAAATTCCAAAAGTACTACAGTTTAACAAAAAAGGGTTAGAATCCTTGTGCGCTAATTTCCCTTTCAAGTTGAAGTAACGTTGAACCCAAGTCATCTCTTATGCCATTATTATCCCAATATTTCTTACAAACTAATCATGATTATCCCAAAGTTACAAAAGTAGCCACGACGACCTACGGAGACACGTCGAACTGACACAAACCTTTTCGTAGATTCATCCTTGTACGTAGTTGCCAAAGACAGCAAGGATTTTGGTTTTCAAACAAAAGATCTTTCAGTAGGATTTGACTGTAAAAATGGAAGCTTACATCCGAAACAATTCAAGATCATGCTTTTACCGTACATGAATTGGAGCCATTCATCGAAGAAGGAGAATTTAAGGATACGATCCTCCCATCCCAGCACCTCATAACCCACCGGTTGTCTGAAGTTCCAGCAAGCTGGGGTTGGGTTCCAGCTAAGCCATTTGAGTTTGGGAAGGTTTGATCACACAATCTAACAGTTTTACCTTGGTATCATGTTTAAAATTTGAAACACTACAAGGGTAAAAAGAACTGTCCTTGGCCGGATATGGTTGAAGTAGAAAGAATTTAATGAGGAGCGTCCCACAGGCAGTAAAAATAGAAAGAACATGATCAAAATAATTGGAGACAACTCACCTCAAGGGATCCTGAATTCTTTAATACTACGTAAATGCTAGTAGCTGATACACTATAACCGTGTTCACCGTGTACACCCAATAAAGTTAAAAAGAATCAAAGAAACCTCTGGTCTTTCAGCCTTTGAGGCCCCGGTCTGGCCCTACTCTCCCTCCCACAACAAATCTACATCTATATCCAATTAACAAGAGGTAACAACCAACAACAACCTGCAGCAAAGGTTAAATGTTAATCTTTTTTTCTTCCTTTTAAATTTTAATCAAGTGAATCATGATAATCACTGTATTTGCCTCTCATGAATCCAACTAATCCCCTCATCGAGCTTTTCTTGTAATTTTTATTTTTAACCATGCTTTCTCTTTAACCTCAAACCGTTTGATGTTGATCAACTGCCTCAGAAAGTTTAGACGGTGACACCCCTCGCTCTCTCTCTCTCTCATCTTCTCTTCTTCTCTCTCTGGAACCAATGAAGAAAAGCACAAAACAAGAGAAATAGTGGTTTTCTTTTCCCTGTACAGATTCAATTCATTTTGTAGCAGGTTTCTATCCATTATCATTCTTTCTTTATTCTTGAATTAACTCAAAGACTGACTCACCATTCAACAGCCAAGAAAAAAGGCATTTTCCCCCTCAAACAAAGGGCACCCAGAGTTTCAATCTTTCCAGAAAGGAATTTACCCTTCAGAATTTAGCAATCAAATTTGATAAGTTTGTCTCCTTTTCTATGGATTTAGATACCATTGATTGTGTGACATCTTCAGATGTGATGGATGATGATGAGATCCATCATCATAATCATCATCATCATCATAATCAGTTGTCTCCATTGTCGAAGCCTCCTAGCAACAATGGGAACGGCAACAGCACTGTGTCATCAGCGGTTCACCCAAGCACCACCAGTGTCCATGAACTTCTTGAATGTCCTGTCTGTACCAATTCTATGTACCCTCCTATTCATCAGGTCAGTCTTTAATCCAATTTCTTTGATGGTTTTTCCTTTTATTCTTTGAGAAAAAATTCTGTCTTTTTTCGTGTGTCAATTTAAATTTGTTTCTTTTTTCTTGGGTTTTACATTTAATTTATCGGATTTAAATGATTGATGGGTTGACTCTGTGCTGTTTTAGGGTTAGAATTAAGACTACAAAATTGGAGAAACTTGTTGGTAGTGATGCTACTTAGAGTGACTATGTTTAATTGTATGTTTGATTTGGGTTGTGTCAACTTGAAGACGCTGAAATTGAAGGCGTTTTATGCGTTAGAGGATGGCAAGAGTCAAAAGTTGCATCTTTTGGAATTTGATTTTTGGAATTTCTGTCGTTGGTTTTGTTGGTTTTACCGTAGAAGTACACTGTTTTCTGTTGTTTTTTGAGGGATTAAAAGTAAAGCAGATACCTGTGGTTTCATCAGGGTGAAATCTTTGTGTTGGTTTTATTATTGGCCCTTTCTATGAATTGCTTGCTGCCTCAGAATTAACCAATCAGAGAAGTGAATATGAGTATAATGTGAAATTTATCATGGCTTTTTCATGAGTAGGATAGAAAAGGAGCAAATAGCAGATGATAGACAGACTCTATCATATTGTAAATGTGAGAAATCAACACTGCATTTTTTTGGTATCTTCCTGGTGGTTTGCCTGTGCCCTTGCTCCCTACTTGTTGAGGATGTCTTTTGTTATATTTGAAATAGGTTTACAATGCTGAATCAGCTTTGCAGATCAGGCACAGGAAATTGTGGATTGTGAATAGAGGTGGCATGTGTAGCTGTTTGGGCTGGGAAGGGTATTAGAATAGTGTGGTTTTAAGTTTGATTTTCATATTCTCTCATTCTGAAGAGGCTAAAAGGGCAAAGTGAAAACAGAACTAAAGACCTTTTAAATACCCTCTGTTCATGCATATATAAGAATCTATGCCTATCTCTGTAAGGAGTTAAAGGAAGGTGGATCTTTTACTAGGATATTTTTGCGTTTCAAGAAACTCACAAATAGATGTTTTCAGTTGTATAATTTCACTGAAAAAGCATAGCTATGGTGGTTTCATTTACAGAATAAGAAATGTTGATAAAGATTGCGTTTATAGATAACTTCTTTTTTTTTTTTGGAAATTGCATTTATAGATATCTAAGGAGGCATAGTAATTGAAGAGTGTCTAACGATCTGTTGTTTCAGTTCATCCTCACAAGAAAGACTTAAATTAAGATGGAGTACAATCATGAAATTGACTGAATTCTCTGTATTTTTTCTTTTTCTTTCTCCTTCTGGGTGCATGCAGATATCATTACTCATTAGCCTGCAGGATCGGGTGGATGGCTAAATAGGCTTTTGGCCAAAGCAAATGATGCTTAACAACAGCCTTTTTCTTTCTTTCTTTCTTTTTTTTTTTTAAGGGGGGGGGGGGGGTGGGTGTTGTCAGGTAGAATGCAGACCTTTGGTATATGTACATTTTTGTTTACATACGCATGTTTTTATATTTTTCTCTGTTTGTGTGTTGATAGAACCATATATCTATGTTTTGTTCTGAAAGTGGTCCTAAAGTTGTACCAGTTTCTCTAATTTCACATGTCAAATGCTAGATTCTGTTTTGTAAAACATTGATTTTTGTGCAATAGATCTTTTCAATTCCTATTGAATGCTAGTACTGCTGGAATGGATTTCTCATTGTCTTAGACAAAGTGGACCTAGCTGCTCCAAATAATTTGGTACCTTATGGTAGGTGTTTTTAACGATTTGCTGTTTCCACAGTGCCACAATGGGCATACCCTGTGTTCAACCTGTAAAACAAGGGTACACAATCGGTGCCCCACATGTAGACAGGAGCTGGGTGATATTAGGTGTCTGGCTCTAGAGAAGGTAGCTGAATCACTTGAACTGCCTTGCAAGTATACATCCCATGGATGCCCAGAGATTTTTCCCTATTATAGTAAACTCAAACACGAGGCCCAATGTAACTTCAGGCCATACAATTGCCCATATGCTGGATCAGAATGCTCTGTTGTTGGTGATATTCCATTTCTTGTTGCTCATCTAAGGGATGACCACAAGGTGGACATGCATTCTGGATGCACATTTAACCATCGGTATGTGAAGTCTAATCCTCGGGAAGTAGAAAATGCCACGTGGATGCTCACTGTAAGTAAACTTATTCTGACTAAGAATTGAACTATAAATTATAGATGATGGATCAGAATAAACGAGATATGCATGTTACTGGTATTTCATTGCAGTTCTATACATGTTTCACGGTCTTGGAGTTTCTGTGACAAGGAGTTGAGCTGTCTATACTATGTACTACCAGTATATGTATGGTAGCCTTACACTTCATAGAAGTGCCAGAAGTTGAACTAATGGCCTTGATGAATAACCAATAATGTCCAATTCTAAGGATTATGTAATGCTATGATTCCCAAATTATAAAAAGTCATGCACATCACTGTTAGTAGTTTTTCTTGGAGCTAGTGTCTCAACTCATTAATATTTTTTGAAATTAAAAGGGAGATTAAATTGACAGGATGCTTAGTCAATTTAAAAGTAAATCTTCATTCTTGTATGTGCTCTCTCTGCTTTCACATAATCAGTTTGTTGCTTAACTTTCTTAATAAAATGGTTAAACTGTATTGGGTATATAGATATGTGATGGTGTAACCTTTCATAATCTGCTTGTGATGTAGATAATGAATAGTATTGCATCAACATAAGTTCGTCACCAGTAATTTGGATTTCCAGCCCTCAAGTCCAACAGTATACTGCAATCATCTTATATTTTCCTGACATTACTGAACGGTTTGTATCTTCTGTCATCCATGGTTAGGTATTCCACTGTTTTGGTCAGTACTTCTGTCTCCATTTTGAAGCCTTCCAGCTGGGGATGGCCCCTGTTTATATGGCATTCCTTCGTTTCATGGGTGATGAGATGGAAGCCCGCAACTACAGTTACAGCCTAGAAGTTGGGGGCAATGGCAGGAAACTCATTTGGGAAGGCACCCCAAGAACCATAAGAGATAGCCACCGAAAGGTTAGGGATAGCCATGATGGCCTTATTATACAGCGTAACATGGCACTTTTCTTCTCTGGTGGGGACAGGAAAGAGTTGAAGCTGCGAGTAACAGGACGGATATGGAAAGAACAGCAGAACCCAGATGGTGGTGCCTGCATACCCAACCTTTGTAGTTAAAAAAGTTCAGTTGGATATCTGCTGCACACCCATAGTACTGTTTGCTGCATTTTCTTGTAATATTAATAGTAGGTGATTTTGAGGATTCTCGAATTCTGTATGGATATTGGAGGCTTAAAGCCTTTTTCTCAATTAACAATAAGCTTCTTACCCAATTTATAGCCAGAGAACGAAGTTATACATAAGTCTTTACCCTTGCTGTAAACGTTGAGAATTGCAGTCTAAATGCTTATCAATCAATCCCTCCTTGCAGCCAATCTTCCCCCGATGACAACTTTTGGTGTAGTAAACGACTAAACTATCGATTCTATTGAGTGACTCAACACTCTTAGAATAATAGAATTAATTAAGCAACACTCTTAGAATAATAGAATTAATTAAGCATTCTTACCTTATATTAATGGCGAGTTAGAAAGGTTGAACCATAAAGCGGCATCCGTATAACTCAGGAAAAAACGACGTCGTTAGGCATATTTCTTACGCCTTTACAACTCCAAAGGGGTTTTAGCAAACTCGGACAGCTTCTCGCAAAACCTCTATTCACTCTGCACTTTATCTTGTCATGTTGTCTCTCAAACTTTTATCTTAAAGCTCGAATTTTCGTTTTATGTTTGATGGAGCTTCTCAATCCTCCAATCTCCAAAACCCCACAGCTTTTTTCCAGCTTCTCATTTATCACTCGCCGACTTTCCACTAAAACTTCCAACAAAAAGCCATTGCATAGATTCCACATATCAAAATTCCGCGAAATACCATCATTTTCACGCTGTTTACCGTTATCCGGTACTAAATTATTTCATGTTTCTGCTCATTTTGGTCGGCCAACGAGCCGCCGCAACTCGCTGAGGAAAAAGCTCCTTCTTGATCATCAAAAGGTGCGTCAAAATCCCATTCCTTCAAACCCATCTCCTGATTTTCAAAACCCAAATGGCAGTTTTGAAAATTTTGAGAATTTGAAATCTGGTAGCAGCAAACAGAGTGATGCAGATAATGATGTAGGTGAATTAAAATCAAAGCGTTTACGTGAATCTGTAATGTTGAGTAAATTAGAGAATTGGATTGACCAGTACAAGAAAGATGCTGATTTTTGGGGGATAGGTTCGGGTCCTATTTTCACGGTTTTGCATGATTTGGAAGGGAATGTGGAAAGGGTGACTGTTAACGAGGATGAAATTTTGAAAAGACTTGAATTTGAAGACTTGGAGAAAGTGAATTCTAAATTTTCTTATGCAAAGAATTTAGCTAGAGAGATGGAAGGGGGTGAAAATGTGATTCCAAGGAATAGTTCGGTAGCAAAGTTTGTTGTTTCTGGTCAGGAGTCTGGTTTGGTGAGTGGAATTCATGGGGTTATTCTTCGTCCTGGGTTTATGCCCAAACTGTCAAGAGCTGGGAGTTTGTTGTTGTGTGGTTTTCTTGTACTTTCGGTGGTGAAGAAGTTGTTTGTTCTTGGAAACAAGGAGGTGGCATATACAGAATTGGAGAAGGAAATGATGAGGAGAAAGATAAAATCTAGGAAGGAGAGAGAGATGTTGGAGAAGGGTAGTGTTGAAGTTGTTCAAGCATCTGAAGAACCACCTAATATGTCCTTTGAAAGACCAAAGCTGGATAGGCAAGAACTTCTGAATAATATATTAAAAGCAAAGGCTGCAAAAGATAAATTGGCATTGCTTGATTCTTCTGGCTCTCAGAGTAGCAAATTTGTGGAGTTTGATCGTGAAGTCCAGGAAATTAAAGTGAGGGCCAAGGAAGCCCTGGAGACTGACAGTAGAGAGCAATCTGTGGTTGGTAAGGATGAAAAACAAGTCCAGGCTGCAAACAAGGAATTTTCTAATGAGATGCAGGCAATCAAAGAGGATGGACAAGATGGTGTGAGTTTTCTAAGTAACCTTTCTCCTGAAGATTCAGAACAAGGCAAAGTTAGCTACGGAACTGTGGAGGCAACATCTCCTTGTGAAACAAAAAGTGATGGTGTTAAAATTCTCAATGGAGTAGCTTCTTTAGATAGTAGAGTTAGGGAAGACTCTGATGCTTCAAGTGTGCAGTTATCAAAAGACAAGCAAAACACTAAAGAGGATTTAGAAGATATCGAGAGTACTATATCCTTATTAGTTGAAGGAGAAGATATCCAATCCCCTGTTATTTCTGATAACAAATCATATATTGCAAAGAGCACTTATTTCGGAAAGAAACCAAGAATCATACTGTCAGTGAAAGAAGCTAGGGAGTTCCTTTCCAAAAATTCCAAAAAAGAAGAGCTTAACCAAGAGCCCATAATGAAAGCTGTGCAAGAAAGTGCTCCTGATTTATTGCTACGAAAGGATAAAAAATCAGGTAGAAGTACAGAGCAGAGACTACATGTGAATGACAAACTGTTTCCACATGCCATTTCCAGTGGAGAGTCAGAGTTTACACCTTCTGAAAATGCTTGTCAAAATTCTATTTGGGAGGATAAAGAGTCTGTCCTTAGTGAGGAAACTGATGAAGAAAATTCTGATGAAAAATGCGGAGAAGAAGTTCATCAACAAACTCCATTTTCTGCTCAAGAAAGCACTGTTTTAAGTGCAGAACAAGGACAATCATTAAAGACAGAAAACTGGATAGAGAATAATTTTCATGAGGTTGAACCTGTACTTAAGAAAATTGGAGATGGATTTAGAGAAAATTACATGGTTGCTAAGGAAAAAGTTGATGAACAATTAAATATGCATACAGAGATTACACAACTTGGCTCTAATGAAGATGAAAGTGAACTTGAGTGGATGAAAGATGATAGACTTAGAGAAATTGTTTTTCAGGTTCGAGAAAATGAGTTGGCAGACCGAGATCCCTTTCATTTGATGGATGCTGAAGAGAAACTTGCATTCTTCCAAGGTCTGGAGAAGAAAGTTGAGAAAGAAAATAAAAAACTCTCTCGCGTGCATGAGTGGCTCCATTCGAATATTGAAAATCTTGATTATGGAGCAGGTAGATGTTGTTCTGAAATCATAATTGTTTCATGTATATTTTTATCCTCTGAAGAAGAAATAAGCTGGCTCAAATTTTCTGTCTTATACTTATATCTTTGTTGATATTAGCGTTACTTAATGCCTAACGATTCGTAAATTCAGAATCCTTTTTAGGCATATTGTTTCCATACTTGAAACTGCTAAAGTAGACCTGCTCTCAAATGGTTTTGGCATTCTGATTTCTTAATTACTTGATGTGTTTAGAAATTGAAGTTAATGGCTCACTGATGCTAATAAAGTCTTTGGCTTTTCTTCTAGATGGTATCAGCCTCTATGATCCACCAGAAAAAATTGTACCACGCTGGAAGGGTCCCTCATTAGAGAAAAGTCCTGAGTTACTCAACAACTTCCAAGAACAGCGGAAAGCACTTTTTACTGGAAAAGCTGGTATAGCATATCCTGCAAAAAAAGATGGACAAGGTTTCATTCAGAGATTCGTAGAACCCCCCATCAATGAAAAGTTAGCTATTTCTTCATCAGAGTCAGATTTGAAGAGGAAACTTCAAGATGGTGATCCAAAAGATTCCAAAATAGTTGTAGAAGGCAGTGATGGTTCCGTCAAACCTGGTAAAAAATCAGGGAAGGAATATTGGCAGCACACCAAGAAATGGTCCCATGGTTTTTTGGAATCCTATAATGCTGAGACCAACCCGGAAGTTAAATCCATTATGAAGGATATGGGGAAGGATTTGGACCGATGGATCACTGAAAAAGAGATACAGGAAGCGGCAGATCTGATGACAAAACTTCCTGAGAGAAACAAGAAATTCATGGAAAAGAAACTCAACAAGCTTAAAAGAGAAATGGAATTATTTGGACCACAAGCTGTTGTGAGCAAGTACCGAGAGTATGCAGAGGAGAAGGAAGAAGATTATTTATGGTGGTTAGATCTTCCACATGTTCTGGTAACTTTGTGAATACATATTCTCAGCTATTGTTTTAGTTTTTCATTCTTTGTGCATTAACATCATGTCCGTGTTAGTTGACCCTTGATTGAAGCTGCATATGTTTTCGCTTCTTATACCAAATGCTAGCTTTGGTCTATTGTAAATGTTGCTAAAGTTCTTAATATCATGATTTTTGTATGCAAGTTATTATATTTGCATTATCTTTTTGCATGAGTTGGATGGTTCCTAAAGTTATTCAGTGAGATCCTTGTGACATTTATATGTGCATGTTTCAAAGTATGCACTTTTGGCTTGTGTCATGCCTCTACTATACTGGTTATTGGACAATAGTAATCTTCTGTCTATGTCCCAGTGTGTTGAATTATACACATTTGACAATGAGGAGCAAAGGATAGGATTTTATGCACTGGAGATGGCAGCAGATCTTGAATTAGAACCAAAACCACACCATGTGATTGCTTTTGAAGATACTGGTGATTGCAAAAATTTTTGTTACATCATTCAGGCTCACATGGATATGCTAGGAAATGGCCGGGCCTTCATTGTTCCACAGCCACCTAAGGTAAGTGTTGATTGATTCCACTGTCAAACATGTTCAATCATATTGTATTAAGCTTTAGAAAGAGGAACTTAAATGTTAAAGGATTACTTGAGAAGACCAATATGGCATTTTCATTTATCCAAATTTAAAGTCAGCATAGTAGTTGCATGTAGAAGATCATCCAGCCCAAAGTTGATTTTATTGTTCTGATGTTTCTAGCAGTTAAAAAAACTATAATCCATCTCCTGATCTGATGGGCTGAAAATAGACCTAAAACAGGGCAGCTGGTGGACAACCTGACTGTTCCTTCCAATCAAAGACTAGGCAGTATTTAGAAAAGAACAGTAACATTGACAAGTCAGTCATTCGGCTGATTATTAGGTCCTTAATCCCTTCTAGAAAAGCATATAGAGGTGATGGTGATTATATTTTCCTTTCTTTCCTTTGTTCCTTTTGAGGTTGGAATGCTTTTAATTTTTCTTAACTTCTGATAACCCATACTAGGACGCATTTCGGGAAGCCAAAGCAAATGGTTTTGGTGTAACTGTCATCAGGAAAGGGGAGCTACAGCTCAATGTGGATCAAACTTTGGAAGAGGTGGAAGAACAGATATGCGAGATTGGGAGCAAGATCTACCATGATAAGATCATGCGTGAACGCTCCGTGGATATAAGCTCATTGATGAAGGGTGTGCTTGGTGTTAGTGGTAAACCCACAAGGAGGTAATTTCTGATCTTTAAGTGTTTTTACAAAATTATGCAGGGGAGATGGTATTTGATATTTGACATGGCTGATGGGACACCATAGGTGAGTTATAGTATCAGTTCTATCTGTCTGCAGAATAACTAGCATTTCAATGTCTTCTTTTTCTTTTCAGAAGAAGGTCAAAGAAGAAGCTCAAAAGGCCTACGCAGAAATGAAATACTCAGTTCATACACCTGAGAGAGACCTGAGGAGTGACATCGAAATTGAACACTTGAGAAGTTCAGGTTCATTGAGGTTTGAGGATTCCTTTGAATTCGTTTTCTTGGTATCTCATGTGTCACTCAAACATCGCAGCTGTCTGCAAATTCCAACTGCCTGCAAATTTGTGCAATTGGTGATGATACAAAAAACAAGGATGCTGGACTCTTGTCTCTGAAATTTTTTGAACGTCCAATTATGATTGCCACGTTCTCCAGAAATGATTGCCACTGAAGCAGTGACAGTGTCAGTCTGTTGCGTTCAAGACCTATCCAGTTAGAGGCACTGACATCTTTGGTTCGATCATGCAATTCCGGCTGCATCCTTTACATGCTTTTCCCTGAAAACTAAGCAGACGGTAGGTATCTGAAACCTATGTGGTAACTGTAAAGCCATCCTCTTTGAATGTTTGTGTAATTGGTCAGTGATGACCATCTGATTACCTTGATATATAGTGTAAAATTCAGGAGCATGCTGCTTGTAAATATAGGGGCTGAACAGCGCACCTTCGCATCTTTTCAATGCCACTTGTAATCCAAGTTCTGTAGCTTACATGCGCTTTCAGCAAATGCGCGAAACAATTGCATTCCGATGTTACGGTTTCAGCCCACCTAGTTGACAGAGTAGTGAAAACTAGTAATTTGTAGTACGAACTTAACAGTAACTTCAACTAAAGTTCATGGTAGCTGAAAAACCTAATCATGAACCAAAAGAAACAGTGAAATAAATACAAACCCAAGTCTTCAATTCAAATTTCAAAAGACCAATTAAATTATCTTGACAAATCAATTGAAATGAATGCAACAAGACCTCAAATTAAGAGGCATTTCGTTAAGTACCATGAAGAATAGAGAATCACATGGAAGTGTCAATAAGAATAAATCATTGAGCTTTCATAACCAGTCTGCCGGACCATTTGAGGTCCCATGATCTGGCAACGGATGCTCAACTATGACAAGGCATGTACAGCTGCACAACTATCAACTAGTATGAACCACCATTCTCTACAGATGTTCAGCACTTCCATCATCAGAATGATTCGGCAATCTCATCCAGATGGCGATCCATGATTTGAGATAGAGTTTCAAGAAATGCAGCTTCACTTATGCCAGGAAGCACAGAATCCTGTGCCTCTTGGACAATTTCCTCAATCACAGATTCCTCGTTCAAATTCTTTCTGCACATTATACTTCCAATGGCAAAGGGAGTAAGCCCTCTCTCTGCACCCTTTTTAAGAAGCATGGTGGAGATGCGGAGTGTGCGTGCACATTTAGGTGGCATATCCCATCCAAGGAATTTCAAAAGGGAAATATCTTCTTCAGCATCCAGTGATTTTATGTAGTCAATTGTCTCAGGGGAGTAAAGTTGACGAGCTTGAGGCCAATACAGCCAGTCATATGTGCAATCTTCAAACTATAAAAACAGCAAAGATGAATTGCGATTAGGCTTAAAGACACAGCAAAAGACAACAGGCAGGAGGAAAATATTGGAAAGACAAAAAAAAGTAGGATATGAGCTTTCAATGTCGAGAAAGAAAATGAAATGTGTAGTGAGACTCATAACCACTCCACAAGATGATGAAAAACCCCAGAAAACTTAGGGAAAGAATCAAGCTGGCAGTACCACTCAGCTTGCTTTACAGTTTACAATTAACCATATCTCTGAATCATGAGAACTTTAGCAGTGTAGATTCTCTTGATTCATAAGACATAATACAAGTTCAATCACCTTCTAATCATGAACATATATAATACCATTTGAATTAAATTCACAGTTACATTAAACCATCCTGGATAGGGTGTTTAACATTTACAATTTAGAGGAGGAACCTAGAATAAAAAATAACAAGAAAAGGAGTGGAGTAAAAAAGTAGTAAAAAACAGTAAAACCAAGAATGATGTCATGCAAAGAGTAGCAGGAAATTAAGACATATCAGTGGAGCATACTTACACTTTCAGGCAAGCAATAGCCATGGTCAATTGGAATCAGCAATGTCTGCCCATCTTCATCTTTACTCATTAAAATATTCCCAGCATGCCTATCTGCATTAGCCAATCTTATATCCAACACAGAGATTTTATGTACTTGCTCAACTGGGAAAGACCCAGGACCCATATCCTCACAACTTCCGCTGTTCTCCACAAACATCTGCAATGACCCAATCTTGGCCTTTGCTATATCATCAGGATTGTTAAACCCACTATGCAAACACTTGATCATAGCAGTAGGAGGCACCCCAGCAAAACCCTTCTCATCACCATATAAGGTGTATCCATTCTTAGGATGATCCAAAATATAAGCTGCAACTTCCCTGAATGCTCCTTCTCCAACTTTTGTGCCCTTCTTCAACCCTTCACCATCTGATGACACTGGTAGTTTTCGAGGGTTGTTAACAGCTAAAGGCTCCTCGTCAATTGGCTTAAAAACAGCAACAAATTTTTGGCCTGATGAATCCTGCATGAAATAGGCTCCTCCAGTACCCTCCACAGACCTGATTGGAATTCTTCTGTTATCTAATCCATCAAATGTGGAATTAATCATATCCACAATCACCGCAGGCAATTCAACCTTGGGATTAACAATAACTGGCTCCAATGAAAAATCCCTGTCAGGAGGCTTTCTCGGTACAACCTCTCTATCAACTTCATATCCTCTACTATAATTCTCCTCGCAACAGACATCATATTGTCTTCTATTGTTCGTCTCACCAGCATCACAATGTCGCTTGTCTTTCAATTCTGGTGCCACAATAGACAACTCGAAATTCTTAGCAACAGGCTTCCCCCTAACTTTGGCAGATTTTCTGACCAATAAATGCAATACAGCATCACTGTGCTTAGATATATCATCAATTAGCCTCTGATCCTCTAAAATCTTCCCATCACAAAGGACTTCTTGCTCATCAAGATCAGTAAACTGCTTCTCTCTCTTAGCAATCTGTTGCTTCACATAACCTACGTCTCGTCCTCGTTCAACATGAAATGTGAATTCTTTCCCAGAAGTAGTCTTAACATTGATGACCTGAAGATCAGAGAGCCTAAGAACCAAGTGCAGGACATTCCCATCGTTGACTCCATAGTCACGAATAAGGGAATTGCTCCGTGCCAGCTCCCGGCCTCCACAAACCAACCTCTGATTCTTCACAACAAAACCTTTACATGTTTGAATCTGTAGCTTCACGGATTCAATAGAATCCGATTCCAGAACCCGCATAGGTATCATCGTTCCAGAAAGGGCCAAAAATATCCAAATTGATTCGTTTTCACGCAGACCCAATTGGGGATTCATGTGATCAGGAGGAACCATGGGTTCATTTCGAACCGAAACAACAGCAACACCAGCCGACGACATTTCTGACAGTGAAATGTAGAAGAACAGAAAGATTCTAACACTCTACAAAAGAATGCTAAAAATTTAACCTAACCCTGTACAAATTCACATCAAAGGCCCCATTTTTTACAATCTAACACTTCTATACAAACGAGAAAAAAGCTTCTCAATTCAGGCCCAAGGACAAAACCCTAAGCCCAAGGAATAAAAACCCCAGAAATCAGAAGCGCAACATTTAAGGCTCTCACAGCTCAATTCATCTTGATTTGTAAGACTAGGGTTCCAAGATTGAATGTTCGGAAATTATTAACAATGAAAAAGAAAAGAAATATATATATATAGATATATATTACGAAAGAGAGAGGATTCTTACCAGAAGACCCAAAGAGACAGGGAAGCAAGAAAATGAATCTTAAATCAGAGGCTAAATTTAGGAAATTAAAAAAATTTTGGGTTTTCTATTTTTATTTTTTTTTTGGAGCTGATGGCAATGGAGGAATAGGTGACAAGACAGGGATTGAAGAGGAGAAAGACGCGTGTAGCCGTCGTCGTTTTGTAGGTAACGCGTAAACTTGTATACGAAACTTTTGACCAATTTATATAGAGTCTATCTTTCGATACAAATGAGTAAGCAATATGGATTTTTCTTGGTGCTTCCCATATTTAGACTGTAAATTTTCCTAAAACAGTAAAATTCTTGGAGTAGCATTCAAGTCTTCTTTTTCTTTTTCAGTAATATATTAATTTATTATTTAAATTATTTAAAACATACAAATAAAAAATACTAAAATATTTTCTAGTTTTCTAGCCATTTTTTCCTATCAATCTGTTGAGAGACTTTTAATTTTCTAGGCTTTCCTGCCGCCCGCATTTCAAAAGTTCTGAACTGGGCTGAACAATAGCTGGTCAAATCAAACGCATTAGCATGGAAAATATATAATAATTAAAGTATAACAATCAAATTCCAAATTCCAAAATCCTACGGCAGCTGCCTCGTAGCCACGTCGGTTCTGATCCTACTGGAATATTCGATTTTGATAATAATAATAATAATAATAATCATAATGTGGTTTCGGCAAGATTGGTACGAAATTTCCAAGGTTCCAGCATGTCAGTGATGACTTATGGGATGGCCGATGAACTAGTTGAATTTAACTTTTTTCATACAAAAATGAATGGATATATTCGGAGCCTTCATTTCTGGACCAGTAAAAATGTAATGGAAGGTAGAAACTGGAACCTTTCATCGTAAATGAAATACATGTCTCGATTTCTCATATTCATTTTTGTCATATTTGATCCACATCTTTCAGAGTTACCATAGTAAATAAACCCCAAATTTTGTTGATCAGGTAAATATGTCAGGTGATTGTGTCTGAACACGAGACATGTGGTAATAAAAAGATAGTTTCGAAGAAGAAACTAGGGGCCATGTTGTCGATTGAGGACGCCTAAGGCAGATTCTGCCATTAGATGCTGAAGGTTTCCCTCAGCACTGACTTGTTCGTGTCTGGACGCCAGACTTTTTTCCACCAGTTTCTCACCCATATGGCAATTTTTATTCTTTGAACAGTCACCGAGAGGTGCACCCATGACAAAACGCAGGTTTCTCCAGAGTTTAGTTAATGCATAAGGCGCTGAATTTGCATTCAGGTATGCTGCTTGCAATGTTCTGCTTCACTGTTCAGCACAAAGCTTGGAAATGCTAGAGTAATGACCCTAAGAAGTGAATAGACATGCGAACTGATACCAATTCAAAGTCATATCTGCAAATTGTTTTACAAACATGTAATTCAGGGGACAAATGTTGACCATTTGTAGTCCATTCAGCATTTCACCCAGCATTTTTCAAACAAACAGCTATTCAAATTCAGAGGTGGCAATTGGCAAGTCAAAATGGTTGCAATCGGGCTTCAAAGGAGCCATAGACCAAACCCTAACTGGGAAGAACGTTTTGCAATGAAAGTGAATGCGAGTTTGATCAAGACTTTTTGCTGCTGCTACTTTCTTTTCCCTCAACCTTTTGTCTTTTTGTTTTCCCATTTGTTTTACCTTTCAGGGCGGGTGTGGGTGGGAGTTGATCTTTGAATAGGTGGCAGACTTATCAGTTCAATTTGCAATAAATGGTGTCTAAGAATTATTTATAAACTAAAAAAATGAGATTATGCTGTGAGAATCGTCAAGATTATAGTTCAAACAAATGAGGCTAGCTTTAGCAACAAGAATGCAATCAGCAACAACTCTAAAGAGTCATCACATCAAAACTTTTTGCATGTCACAGATGATTGGCAAATCAGCTGTTAACAGAATTAGTTGAATGCTTACATGAAAAGTTGCCTTTCAATTCACCCCTTCCCCTAGCTTTTGGTGAGAATTGAAGCTGATCTAAAGAACAAGAGCTTTGAGGATGGATATGCAACGTCATGCATTAAACTGAAAGTAGAGTTAAGAA